CATCCACTCTTGAGAGAGCCATCAGGTATTTGAGAGAATTACCTATGCAATCTAGCTATTACCTTAATCTTAGCTATTATCTGTGATAACCATGGGATTACAAATCCTGATGAAGTCTTGTGTGACACACCCATGTTCCAGAGGTTTGTGTAGGCTGTACCAGCAGCACATGCCCATATATTCTCCTTCATGGGATGTTTTGAGGACTATGAAAGACCAAATGTGTGTGAATTGGCTTTCAAAGCACAACACTATGGAGACATGATCTCTGATACCCATCAGTTCCACACCTCAGCCATTTCAAGAATGACTGACAGAAGGAATAGGATGCTGGACAGATGGGAAAGTAAATCCCAGTACCTCCCTAGAGAAAGTGGAGCTTGTATTACAGCCATTAAGTGGAGATGTCCTGCTAAGAGACAACAACAAGAGAGATGGGACCTGCTTTGATGCCATCTGTGGTCTCTCTTGCATGATAAATATAAAGAGGATATGAGAACCTGGGACAAGAAACCCACTGCTATTCTCCAGATGCAGGTCCAAGGGCTGGTAAATAGAATAAATGGAGGAGATAGTCCTTCCAGGAAGAGAGCTGATTTAGTCTCTAGTGACTGGTCCTTCAGCATAGATAGCTACCAGCACAGAATCTGGTAAGTCAGGAAAAACCCTTATGATAGCTTTAAATGAAATATTATTGTGACTCTCTTACCAAAAACCTAGTAGAAATCTAATTTTATTTTTAAATAGATTAATCAGAATACAGATATGAACAGAGACTTCAGGTTTTTTTTTTTTTTCTTCAAATAGTAGTAGCTTTCAAATTCATTGCATATATTACTTGTCCTTTTATTTTTTTCTTTCAAGTTAACTCAACACTTGTGAGTAACACCAAAATGATACCCACAGCACTGTAAATTTGGCTGAGAACAGATTCTGCACAAACAGTGCAAAATTTCCTTCTCAGGCTGCTCTGTCCTGCGGGCACTCCCCCAATAGAGAAAATAACTGTAAAATCAGAGCGCACATTCAGAAAAAGCTGTTGATTTAAACCTGATGGAAAGTCATCAACATTCATTTCATTATATTATAAACTATCCACTATGAAATGCATACATGAGTTCTATACTGATGCTTAGGAATTATTAGATTTTAGAAAAGTACTGGTCTAGTCACAGATAATAGAGCTCTGCTTCCTCCAAATCAGTGCTGTTTCTGCCTTGATGTATGGTGCTTTCTCAGGCCTGAGGCAGATGAAAAATACCATATTGTTACGTGCACCCTGTACTGCCAAAGGGCAGTTGTGACTATTATATTTTTCATCTGGTAAGAATCATAACAACAACAACAACAAAAATCTGTAGCAATGTATGTATGTATAATATAACGGAGGTTTGAAGAACAAAATGTTGCAAAACATACATTATTCCTTAGTAAGATAGTATCTTGCAAGCTGAGAATATTTAGTTGTTGTACCCTAGATAACAGAAGAAAAATGGCTGCCCCTGCATGTCACTATTGAACCACAAAAATACACAAGGATTACAGCAAGATTTATAATGTTCTGGTAGGGTCACTCCCTCTTGAGCCACTCCTGCATTAGGGCAATTAAACTGCTACCTTGCTAAGTCACTAGAAACTGTGCTGGGACATGGCCATGCTTGAGGATCATGGATGATTTCTATCACCATTGATTGAGAACTGAGCTTCTAATAAAAAAAAAAAAGTTGAATGAACTTTTTTATCTTAATCCACATGTGCTGTTTTGCATGGCCTTCTGGAGCTTTACAGTACCAGGAAAACACATAAAACACAGCCAAGTAAGTACATGAGCAAGTCTTATTTTACTGCAAGCCTTCCAGCATCCCTTCAGTTTTAATGGATCACATGGTAACATCATATTCCAATTATGCTTTGTAGCCTGGGTTTGCTTACATGGATCTCTGCTAAAGGGGGATATCTTTTGTTTGGCAATCAGATGGATTTTTATGGTTCTTCCATATTATGGAAGCAGATGATTTCCAAATTTTTATTTCATATTCAGGTTAAATGGCTCTTCAGGTGTCAACATGAAGACTATTTCAAGATCTCTAACTGTGAGCTAGACTAATCCTCATCAGTTTCTAAGCTATATTTTGATTTGCTGCTTGACACTTCCTGAGATAGTCTTCTAAAAACAGACATAAAAGGAATAGTGCATTGGCTGATAACAGCTGACATTATTGCTGTAAATCTGTGTTCTCTTAGAGGTGGCTTTGAAAATTAACTAGTCACCCCTAAGTGTTTAATGCAATTGTCAGCTGAATTCATAAACATATTAAACTGCTACTTATAAATAATTGTGATGTTATTAGTGCAGCCTTTCTATTACAAGTAATGCAAAAGCCAAGGAACATATCTCTATATTGTGTCTGGCTATGATGGTTGGAAGAAGATAAAAAAACCTGTGATTTCAGGTCAGATGAAATATCCTGCCCTTTATCATATACTTAATATCACTTTAAAATATAGCACAACAGTATTATGGAAAGAAGTGTCTTCAAAAATATGATTTTGGAATAAAGCTAATTTATGGTAAATATAAACCAAATGTATTTCTTTGATCAAAATAATTTGAATTTCTTACCTTAATAATTTTCTATAATTTAAAAAAATTACATAAGATCTAAATATATTTAATAGTCACTGTTGAGTGTATTTCAGTATGTTGGTAATGGTTTAAATTTATAGAAACCATGGCTTTCAGCATCAGTATTTAAAACCACAATTTTTTTAAAGAACTTCTCCCACTCAGTGATCTCCCTTCTTAAGAAAACTTTGTGGGGAAAAAAAGGGAAAACACATCTCCAACTGTTGGGTTTTTTTCTGTTTGTTTGTTTTTTCTGTTCTGTTTGTTTTTTTCTTTTTTTTTTTCTGTTTGTTTTTTTGTTGTTGTTTTATGGTTGGGGTTTTTTTGAAAGTGATCCTAAAGAGATTAGGCAAAGAATTATGTAAAACCTGACAGGTTCTTTTTTTCAGGTATATGAAAACAAATAGTTAATACAGAAAGAAATAAGTTATAACAAACAGGCAGTAAACAGTGTTGAAAAAAACAGTAATCCAGAATGAATTACATTATTCTGGAAGCAATTTTTTAACTTAATGTTATTGAGGTATAATTTAATATTCAAATTTATTTGAATATCCACCACCAATATAATTCCATATTTTATTTTGTTGGGTTTTTTTAGGGAACATTGGTATATTATATTATGTCAAGACATATCACGATTGTGTGTGCTACACTTTAATTAGATTTTTCCTCACATTTGGAAAGTGTCTTTTCCACAACATTTAACAGTTAAAAAAAGTCTTAAGAATTAAAAAACATGACAGGCAAATCTGTGATGTGATAGTGTTACTCTTCATGAAAATATCAGGTTAGTTCAGAAGTTGTTTATAAGCTGAAATTCAAATATACTGACAATAGTACATTTTGTGGAAAATTATTAGTATTTTGGCTGTTTAGAACTGACACTAAATGACCACCCAGGCTAGCTTAAATAAAGATATAGAGTCTAATGAATGACGGTGGTGCAGCAATAGCAACTCTGTCTACTGAGGTAAAAAGCACAGCAATCATGTTGTCAGTGCTACAGCACTGAATGTGATTAAAGTCTTAGTTAGCATCGGTAGCTAGTAGCCAGAACAAAGATGCGTTAGAGAAAGTGCAATTAGTATCAACCAGACATCACAAAGATGCAATTTTTCATTATGTGATCCCTCTCTCTTCAGACTGTAAAACATTATATTATCTTTGTGATATAAGGATACTGCTTCTTGTAAACAATTTTTACTTTTCAGTGCTTGACACTAGCGCATACAAGTGCAATATCCAAATACATTTTTGTCTGGTTTGTCAAATCATCTAGTGAACTACATGCAGTCTTTTGCTGTTTTATTCATGCATCCTCTATTCAGAATAGCTTCCTGGAAGGGTAGGAGGAATAATTAATTTTCTGTGAATTCTATTTAGGAAAAAAAAATAAAATCAAAAAACACAATCCACATTCCCAGTTTTTAAATTTTAAAAAGTTAAAACATGTTATTAAAATACAAACTGAAGCATGATGCCTCCTTCTTATGGCAGGTGAATTTGAACCTCACTGTTTAGGCAAGTGGAATTTGGAGATTCAGGAATTGGGCTCTTGACCTCTTATTTTCATTGAGTAATGGCCTTTACTTCCACTGAAAATTATATACAGCATCAATTATAGATTGTGCTACTATTTTTTCAGGTCTCATTTTCAGGTTTATTTTCTGAAAACTCTATTATATAATTAACCCCACACACCCCTTGAACACTTGGCTATCAAATTACTTATGCTCTAATACAGAAACAGTGACCGTAAAATGAGAGAACTGCATACATTCTCTGCCTGTGTATGTGTGTCAGCACACAGACTAAAAAGTTGTAATTTAAGAGTCTGATTTCTGAAACAAGCAAACAAAAAAAATAAATACTTGCAAACAATCTGAACAATCAAAATAAAAGTAATTTATACTGAGGTGCAGGATAACAGAGCAAAAAGCAGGTATCTTCGTCAGCTGAAATCTGAATTGGAGTAACCATAACAATCATAGAAATGACTGCACATTCTGGGCTAGAGACTTCAGGTTTAAATCTTATCTCTGATATCTGTCTGGCATTTGTTGCTAAAAAATAAGGCTGTTACAGTAGATTAAATTAGTTGCGCACCATAAATATCTCAGAACTCCCATTTTTTGAGGGGGAATAAAGAAATAAGACAAACATACAAAGGTAGAAAGTAAATGTTATAAACTTGTACACTAGAAATAACAATGTCTGTAGTGGCTATATGAGAAGTTGAATTGTGAAGGGGATGAACAGAGGGAACTACTGTCAGTTGAAGATTTTCCCACCAGAAACAGGTACATGATTATAGCACATTTTACTAATAATCTGTGTCATTCCAGCTTTTAAAGAAAGAATAAAAAATTACCTTTCCCACATACTGAGGTTCAGAGCCCATGTACTCCTCCAGCACAAAAAACTGATTCCACACCCAGCCTCGTTTGACTCGCTGGGCAGATGATCTGCTCCCTGGCACTGGGACATTTTCTCTTGGCCCTCCTAAAGTCTGTTGTGGTTGTGGATGCAGTGGCGTTAGAAGACCTCCATCAAACAGGACCCAGAGAAGCAGGGATAAGCAGTTCCTTGTAAGCATTGGCAATGGCTTCCCTACAGCAAGTAATAAAAACTCCAGCACTTAATGCAGAGCAGAGGAATCCAGGTTTGAGGTGTCTGTGGCCTCCACCACTTAGCTTCTGATTTTATTGCGGAAATGCTAATGCAGGCATTAATCCTTCTGATGACAAGGTTTTTGCCGCATTAAATTCCATCTAAAGGGACCTATAAAAGAGATTTACATGGCAACATCAAATTACATAAAATTACAATGAAGTGTTCATCAAAATTCTCACACCTAGTTACATTTCTAGAGACAGAGGAAAAGATTAGGAATCACAGTTTTAAAAGAGATTGCTATTTTGATTGTAGCACAGAGCTGCTCTAGAACACCATACAGTTATTCCAGGAATAGTTCATTCTTGCTGTGCTTAGCGTTACTCTTGCGTCTGTCTGAACATAAGCCCATTGCCTTAACTTTTTGACTCACTTATTAGACAAAACTGTTACCTATCAGTCATGTAAAAAATATTTACTCTCAATTTAAGCAGAAAACATTGAGGGAAGAGGGGACCCACTCTTCCATCCTACTGTCCAGAGCAGGAATACTTTGCTTATTGTCTCTGTTAGAAAAACACATTGAAAGCATCCCTTTCTGTCTGTGGATGGACTTTGACAAAGTTTGTACTGAACCTTGAATTCTGGAGGATAGATTAGTATGAAATCCACAGGAAATAATAAATGGGAAATAGTGTCCATACAGATAAATACCCAAAAACTTCCGACACACCATATAAAGTCTATGACTGACATTTTCTTCTCACAACAAACCTTGAATCAAAATGATAGCCATGTTGCTCTTCAGGACTACTGTCAAGTATGTTAAAAAATGCAGTCCTGATATATGGAGTAAATTATAGAACTGCAGTCAGCATTGAAAATGAAAAAACACGGAAGCCAGTAAAATGAGACCGTGATACTCATTTGTACTGACAAATGCCAGGTACACAGATTAAAAATAAATCAGTGCTAACTAACTACAGGGCTGAGACAGAGCTATCACATCAAGGTGACAATTAAAACTGCGGTTATCCTTGTAGCAGCCAAATGCTATCAGCAACCAAAAAAACAATCCTAAAGGCATTGTTATGGTCCCACATTGCTCTTTTTATACCAGCACAGAACATGTTAACAGAAAGACAGGTAGGAAAATATACTGTGTTTTCTAGCCACAGTATAATTAACAAGGGATGCTTTCTTTTTGTATTTATGAAATGTTTGGATTCATTGCCTGAAATTAATAAAATGACAGTGCTAAAGGTTGCAGATATTTAAATATTATGGGTGTAAATATTTAAATATTATGGAGCATGAAACAAGCTCAATAAAACAAAGCCCTAGCTGTCAGTTGCAACTTTTCACCAAATTCAGCAGCAATAAAACTGGTGAAAATGAGTACTCACACTATCTAAAAATGCTATGACTCGGGTCCCAGTAAGGACATAGTGAAGACTGCTAAATCTAAGCAATCCATTCTGAAAGAAATTGGAGCTATTCTACAGTTTAGATTTATACAATAAACAATAACAAATTAATAATCTTGTCTCATTAAGACCTATAACCTAAGAATGAAGAGACAGCTTACTCTACAGTCTCCTGGTTATCAAGTAAAAGAAATACTGCTTGTAGGATTTAAGATGGATGCATTTTAAAAACAAGAATACAATTTATATCACTATGGAATTCACCACTTTATTAGGGCCATATTGTATCATTCATTTTTAAGCAGAAGTTTCTACCAAATCAATAGAGCTCTTCTTAAAAATCAATGACACAATATGGACCTCAGAAAAGAAGAAACAGTGAAGTGCTTAACCATATACAGTTTTCATTTTCAAACACTGCCAAAGGTTATATTTGCCCTATGAATAATATTATTACTATCCATAACAATAAGTAACCGATACATTCTTATTTGTTAGGTCCACACTGAAGTATCTAAATAGAAAAGATTTATAACTGGGAGATTGGAATACCTAGTAAGTTTGAAGATGTAAAAAAAATCCACCTTAGAAAAATGTTCTGATTAGAAAGGCTATGTTTTAGGTCTTAATTTAAAAAGAGAAAAAAAAAAAAATACATGTGGTGAAAAGGTATCTAGCGCAAGTGAGTGTTTTAATTCTGCCTTCAGAAAGGATTAAAAATGATGGAAGAACTGTCTGCTTATGATCCTTTCTTAAAAAAAAAAACAAAACACAAAAAACAAAAAACCAAACACGTTTTCTTATTTGTGCTCAAGACATTCCAATTTTTTCCACCTAGAGTAAAACATTCTTAGGTACAATGGCTACAAACTTCCCACTTATATTACTATTTGTACTCTATGGATTTTATTCAGCAAAGAACCCTACCACACTAGACAACTGCACTCAATATATTTGGCATTGTTTCCACTAGCAACTTTTTTTATTTAACACTTCACATGACTTTTTCCCTCTTCAGTGCATTCAATGGTCTGTAACATCAGGTTCATATTGTGTTCATCCATAACACAGTTGCAAACTCCGTTGTCTCTCTTGATCCACAGCTGCAGAGCATGTGCCTAATTTTTATGGCAAAATCATGGTAATCATGAAACACAGCAAAAAATAAAACCAAAGAAAGAACTGGAAATATCCTTTTGAATAGCTAGCCATAGATGGGAGCTGGAGATAAACAACATTTAAAAAGTGGTGGAATATTCTGCACTGCTTCACAAACCCCAAAATCATGCTCTATTCAATTTAACTGCTATACCACTGCTCTTTGCTGAAGAGGCTCTCTACAATACAGTTCTTCCAGCAGAGCTCTGCCTCTGGCCATGCCTGTCAGTCAGGGAGCTTTTAAAATGTTATACAGCACCGAAAGTAATGCGAAGAGATTGAAGGACTTCAATGAAAGGAGAATAATTCCCCCTTGGCTGGAAGGTTAGTAGCCAAGTGCAAAAAATGAAGCACTTTAACCCACTCTCTGTTGGCCTCCCAGACTGACTCCCAGAACATGTACTGCAGTGACATCAAAGCACAAGGCCATCGCTTGCTTCATTCCCTACAGCTTCCAAAGGTGATCAATGAGAGGGTCAGAGAAAAATGGTTAACTAATTGGTGTTGCAGCACAGGACTGCAGCACAGATTCCCTCATCAGCTGAAAGAGAGCTCACCATGAAGAATTTTTAGTTTTGTTTGTGGGAGGCTTTTTTATTATTATGTTCTTATTTTATTCAAAGCTCAGCAGTTAGAATGCTGATAATTGAGAATCCAGTACTTTGGCACTCAAGAGAACTAGTCCAGTTTGCTGCTGTGTGACACTTGAGCAGTAGGGAAATAAGGCAGCATGTCTCCTCCTGCCACCTTTTCTTCTCTAGCATTTTATTGCTGGCTTTGGAGGAAGCCTGGTGGAAGTAGCCTGATAGATTATGTGTAAAAATATCACTGGAACTTGCACAGCAATTCAAAGGCCAAGATCAATGTTTCTTTTAGTCTGTTCTTAGTGGTTTGCATTTTCTTTTTAAGCTACATGTTAGCCATCCAGACAGGATGTCTACACCTGTCTTGGAGCCTTTATATTGTCATATGCTCGAGACATTTATATCTATCACCCTCATATACTGCTGACCAGAACACTGCTCGGAAGGCTAGAAGATAAGGATTTAGAAATCCAACCAAAACATTTAGATATAAGGAAAGTAGTATATTTTCTAATTTTTAAAGGAATTCTTCCTTCTGATGCTCACAAAGATAAGTAGGAGAGTTGGGCACAAACATGCACTCTCAATGCATCTCTTCCTCATAGAATATGAAAATGCAGAAGGCCAGATTTTTCTTAGATCTTGCTTGGGTTTTTTTTTTTCAAGATTAGCTGTTGATAGTGATTTATTCAGAGTATCTTATATAGATTTAAATATCATTATGTGTTACTTAATTAACCCATAAAGAGATCTACAGAGGGGGAGCCTGTGTGAACTTACCCCTACAGAGGCTTTTATACACTGAAATTACATTTAATTTATTTGTTTCCCCAGTTTGAAAAAGGGAAGTGACCCAGCAAGAATGGACAATCTGTTAAAACACAATAATTAAGAAACCTTGATCCTATTTACTCTGTCTCTGAAAAAGGCAGGCTTAGAAACTCATGAAATGCAATTGATGAATTAAATATCACTACTAAGATTATTTCTTGAGAATAACAAAACACAGTGTAAATGGTGCTCCTGCAAAAATATTGATACTGACCTGGATTATACTGCCATTAATCACAAAAGTCTGAGTAAAGGAATATTTTCCAAATAGCAAAACTGACACATGCTTTTACTGCTGCCATAACCCTTAATCAAAGAGAGCCAGGGCACTGTAGACACAAATCACCTCACCAATCTCAGCAAAGGTTATGCCTTCTAGAGAGGACAACCATACAGCCTCTGCAGTCACTAGCATGCACATAAGGCCTGATTTAGGGAAGTCTTTGAAAAGAGATTCTAAATTATCTTTGATCTTGTCATAGTTTAATCTCAGGAAGCAGCCCAACCCCACCCAGTAACTCACTCCTCCTGCATTGGGATGCAGAAGAGAATCAGATGTCAAAATGAGAAAACTCATGGCTTGAGACAAATACAGTTCAGCAGGTAAAGCAAAAGCTGCAGGCGCAAGCAAAGCAAAACAAGAAGTTCATTCACTACACTTAATTGGCAGGCAAATGTTCAGCCATCTCCAGGAAAGCCAGGTTCCATGTTGTCTATAGGTTACTTGGGAAGACAAGCATTGTCACTCCAAATGTGTCTCCTTTTCTTCCTACCCCCTAGTTTTATTGCTGAGCATGACATCCTATGATATCCTTTTGGTCAGCTGGGGTCAGTTGTTCCGACTGTGTCTCCTCCCAACTTCTTGTGCATCCTCAGGCTACTTCCTGATGGAGTGATGTAAGAAGCAGAAAAGGCCTTGACACAATGCAAGCACTACTCAGCCATAAGGAAAACAACACTGTGTTATCAACACCATATTAATT